CTTCGGAGGTTCAATGCTCCTTCACCCTTGGCCGTATGCGCGCTTTCCCTCTATACACGGTGACCGTGTAGTTCTCTGTGCGGAGCCTCTGGCGTGCCCAGCACGTTCCCTGGTCGATCCTCCCGAAGACGCTGCGGATTCTCTCGGCAATTTCCGGATATTGGTCTAACACCGGCCCGTCGACATCACTAGCCATGACCTCGATCCCTTCTGGAGGCATCTCTGGTTGCTGCTGTTTTGGCTCCGATTGTGGATGTGGTGATGTGCGGCGGTTGTGTGCGTGATGGTCGAGTGTGTAGCGGCCGTCGGCGCCGTGAGGGCGCGCGTAGTGCTGACGCCGGTATGTACGGCGGATCCTGGCTTGGTGACGTAGGAGGGCGTGCTACTGACGCTGCTGGGTGCAGCGACTGCAGTAGGGGCAGCGGATATCCGCTGTCTAGTTTGCACATTAGTCATGTGCGCTGCGGCGTCGTGGATGGTGGCGACGCCTGTCGTCCCGACTGCGGCGTGGGCGTTGACTGCCCTTATGGCTGCGGCGCGGCGCGCGGTGGTGCTGTCCGTAAGCTGCGTGTGTCGCGCGGCGGCGTCGGCTGCGTCGGCGCGTGCCGTCGCGGCGTTTCGTATGCCGGTAGTGGGCTGTGACCCCAGTACCTGGGTGCGAGGACGTTTCGCTTCCTCCTCCTCTATGCGTTCGCGTATGCGTTTGACGCTGTTCGCCCACTTGTTGTTGACTTCCATTTTGATGTTCTGTTAATTTTTTATTTTATTTATTTTTTTCCTCTGGTAGCTTCCGAAACTCTGATGTTCGCTCTCCGGTGGTTCGCGGTTGAGTGGCGCTTGTAATGATGTATCAAATTAAAGTTGGTTAATTAATTCTATGGTTTGGTTGGTCGCCGTTCCATTTTTTTTTGTTTCTTTTTTTATTTAATTGTCTCCTTGCTCTTGTATGGCCTCGCTGGTTTGGTATGTTTTTAATTCCGCGATATTGGCCGTCTTTTCCTTCCCCCATCGGTTTTGCGTAACTGGACGATCACCGGTGATATGTACCTCAGGATTTTGTAGGGGCCGTCATATTTGGGGGCCAATTTCGCTGCGAATCCGTCCGCGGCCTTGGATAGATGGTGTTCCTTGGCGAGAACTAGTTCGCCAACCCTAGGAGTCCATTTTCGCCGTCTGAGGTTGTAGTGGCGGGCCTGATCCGTCGCCGCTCTCTCCATATTTTGCCGGACAATCCTGAATGCCTCCTGCATCCTACTGGACTTCTCCTCGGCAGTAGGGCGAACAGTGCCTGTTCCGATGTTGACCTCGTCAAAGAGTACTCCAGGTAGTCGTGGCTCACGCCCTTGGACGAGAAAAGCTGGGCTGTACCCCGTAGAGGCGGTGACGCTGGTATTGATGGCTAGCTCAATTTCGGGGAGGAGGTCATCCCATCGCTGGTGTTGCGATCTGGTGAGCTGAGCTATTATTCGCTTGACCGTTTGGTTAGCGCGTTCCGTTGGATTCTCCTGGGGGGTGTATGGCGCGGTAAACTGTTGTCGTATTCCCATCTCTTGGAGGTAGCGTTGCCACAGCGTGCTGGTGAACTGGACACCGTTGTCCGAGATGAGTATCTTCGGAACGCCAAATCTAGCTAGCAGTCGTTCTCTGAATGCACGGCGCAGTCCTTCTGCCGTGGCGCGTCTCATTGGGACTAGCTCCACCCATTTGCTGAAGCGGTCGAAGAATACCAATAGCATGGTGTTGTCATGTGTAGATCGCGGTAGGGGTCCGACGAAGTCTGTGCAGACCGTCGCGAAGGGCTCCGCAGCCACCTGTGAAAGCATTTTTCCCGCGGGTTTCTGTTGTCCTTCCTTGTATTTTTGGCAGGAATCACACTGGCGCACGTAGCGGCTGATGTCACGGAACATACCTGGCCAATAGTATCGGTTGGCGATCCGTGCCACTGTCCGTCGGATGCCCATGTGGCCGGCGCTGGGTACATCGTGGTTCTGCTGTAGTACTCGCTGGCGAAGGGGGGTTGGTACACATAACTTCCAGGGGACTGTTTCCTCATCCTGGCTTCGGCATGGGATATGGCGGTAGAGTTGTCCGTCCTGCACCATATAGTCAGCGTATTTCTCCGGGTTTGCGCGCACTTCGCCCACGCGCTTATGCCACCACTTGCATTGTGGTTCCGTCGTTATCGCTTTCCGAAGGGTCTCCAGTGGTTGCCGTGATAGTGCCTCCGCGACTAGGTTGAGCTTACCTTTTCGATATTCTATATCGAATGTATGCTGTTGTAGTTCTAGGGCCCACCTCGCTATACGGCCGGAAGGGCTCTCGATAGAGTTCAGCCACTTCAACGACATGTGGTCGGTGATCACCTTGAACCTGTATCCCTCTAGGTAGGGCCTCATCTTCCGGATTCCCCAAACAATGGCAAGACACTCCTTCTCTGTGGGCGAGTAGTTGACCTCCGCTTTGCTCAATTTCCTGCTGGCATAAGATATTACGCGTTCGCTCCTTCTAATTCTTGTGTCAATACCGCTCCCAAGCCAAGGTTACTAGCGTCCGTCTGTAGAGCGAATTCTCTTTAAAATCCGGACAGGCGAGTACGGGGGCCTCGGTGAGTTTCCGCTTGAGGGTGTCGAAGGCCTCTTGTTGCTCGACTCCCCACTTCCAATGCTTACCCTTTTTCAGGAGTGCAGTTAGTGGTTGGCTTAACGTGGCGAAATCGGGCACGAAGCGACGGTACCACGATGCTATCCCGAGGTATTGGCGTACTTCCTTCACGTTAGACGGTGGTTTTAATTCTCGGATCGCGGCCACCTTCTCGGGATCGGTGTGGATTCCCTTTTCACTTACCACATGACCCAAGTATCGGAGTTCCTTCTTGAAGAAGTCGCACTTCTCGGGGTTGATGCGGAGATTCGCGCGTTGTAGTCGTGATAGTACTTCCCGTAGGTTTTGTACATGCTCCTCGAAGGTAGAGCCTATGACGATGATGTCGTCTAGGTAGGCGAAAGCGTGGGGTTCCATTTCTGGGCCGATGACCTGGTCGAGTGCTCTTTGAAATGTTGCTGGTGCGGAGTGTAGGCCGAACGCCATGACGCGCCATTGAAATAGTCCGCGCCCCGGCACGGTGAAGGCGGTGTACGGGCGACTGTTCGGTTCCAGGGATATCTGCCAGTAGCCGTTTTTGAGGTCTAGGCTGCTGATGTACTTAGCCCGCCGTAACTTGTCCAGTATCTGTTGTATTCTGGGTAAGGGGTATGCGTCGGGTACTGATCGGGCATTTAGTTGCACGCACAACCTCCACTTACCATTTTTCTTCCGCGCCAACACGATGGGCGCGCTATGCGGGCTACAGGAGGGTTCGATGCACCCTTTGGAGAGGAGCTCGTCGATCTCTGCGTTGATGATGGCCTGCGTCGCTGGGTTGCGCGGAAAGTACCGCTGCTTAATTGGGCGGTCATCGGTCATGATGATCCTGTGCTCCGCCACGTTGGCCACTCCGCTCATGGTTTCAAACTTCTGTAGCTCTTCCGCTAGGAAGTCGCGTATTCGTGTTGCCTCGCCTGTATGGTTACTGTGTGGCATCTCCGCGGAGGTGCGCTTATCGACGCTTCCACTGGGTTCATCATGGTCGACTCTATTGACCTTCTCGCTCCTGGATCTGCCCTTCCTTCGATGATTCCTCTTAGCCGTCCTCGGCGGGATGGTATTACTTACTGCGAGTGAGGTGTTATCCTCCGTGGTTTGTGAGGTAGCGGATGGTGCCGGCTGCGTAGTCGGTTCGGTGAGTACAACTTGTTGACCGCCACAGGATACTACAGCTCCCATGCTTCCCAATGTGTCTAGGCCGAGTATGAGGTCGTCTATTGCGCCTGGCATGATGTATAGCACTGCGTGGTGCATCGCTTGTCCGAGACGAACCTCGATCCTCATGGCCTCGAAAGTATTGCTACTGGTTCCGTCGGCCATGTGTATCTCGAGGGCTACCGTTATCCTCTCTCCGCTTCCTACGGTTGCCATGTACTCCGCTAAGGTGGTGGATATGAAACACTTCGAGGCACCGGTATCGATGACGGCCTCGACTAGCTCCCCACCCAAGTGGACTAGGGCGTACAGTCGACCGTGATCCTGACGCATGGTTATGGGTATCTCGGCGCTGGGTTCGGTGGGCTCACCGCGCCTTGTCCTTGGTGGAGCCCCTCCGCCGTTTCCCTGACGCCGGCGACAGCATTCGATCGTGCGGACATTGGCCCGACCGCACTCCCAACAGAATATCTTCGGTGCGTTGCGGCATCGCCTGGCATAATATCCTTCCTGCCCACATCTCCTGCATACGTTGTTGGGGTCGAAGCTCTGGTTTCTGGATAGGTCACGACGCTGTGTGTCTGTCGCTGAGCGGTGTGGTGTAACTGGCGGGTGGTGTTGTGTCGTCCGCACCAGTGAGGTGCGATAAGATGATTCATCTGGTTGAGTGGTGGTCCTCACTGGGTTGTCGCCGGTGACATACCTTGCCACCTCCCGGCGTGATGTCTCCGTCGTCCGTCTATGGCCTTCGTGGATACACTCGTACTCCTCCGCGAGCGTGAGTAGTTCAGATAGAGTGGTGAAATCTCGCCGCCGAATGTATAACAAGTAATCGGGGTGGCTGTTGCGGAAAATTCTTTCCAAACGCAACTCGCTGCTATACCCGGCATGTCGCATCAGGTTCTGTATCGCGATTACGTACTCCTTATATTTCTCCCGTGGGTGCTGACTTCTCTGCCGTATATCGTCTTCGAGGCGTTCGAGATAACGAGTTGGCAGGAAGAAGCGTAGGAATTTGCGCTTGAAGGTTATCCAGCTACTCCAGTGTTCGTTGTTGTTGCGGTACCAGTGAAGAGCGGTGCCGCACAGCAACTCGGGCATGGTTTTTGGCAGGAGGTCCACGTTCAAGGCATACACCTCGGCCAGTTCCTCCAATCGCTCTACAAACACTAGCGGGTCTCGCCCACCGTCATATTTTACTGACCACTTCATTACCTGGTCGATGATAGGTGCAAACGTGTGGGTCGGTGCTTGGTTTGCAGGGTTGGCTGTACCTGCGTTCGGCCCGACGGTTGTTGTCGGCGGGTGCTGGTGCATTGAGGGCTAGTGCTGGTGTGGTGGCAGCGGGTGCTGGTATGATGGTACCGCCAACTGGCTCTGTGTTGTGTTTTCCATGAACTAAGTCGTACTCTCCCCACGTTCATCCGGTGGCACTGGTGTTTTCTGCTCATCCTCGCCTTCCGAGGCAGCCTCGTTTTCTCTGTTGGTGATTCCCATCGCCTGGAATTTGGCATGGATCTTTGGGTCGGTGTGCGCCTTGGCCGCCAGCGCCGTTATGCGCTTGCGTATTTCTCGGGCGGTACCCGCGCACTCGATTCCCAATTCCTGTGCGATGGATACTAGTTGCTCCTTAGGTATATCATCTAGCCCTGCTGTGTTGATCACTTCCGCCATTTTGTTCGTATCCAACATATAATAATTTTTCCTTTACACGTGT